GGGGGGGGGTATCTCAGCAGCACAAAACATGGAAGAAAGCAACCATCTGGTGAGGGGTAAGTATTTCACCAACCAGAGGTCACTGGGGGCGCAGGGGGGCTGGGAAGCCCTGCAAAGAAATGCTGGCTTTGGCCTGTGCTCAGCCAAGCCCTCGGGGACACTGAGCCAGGAAGAGCGGTGTCCACTCCGCAGGGCCATCACCAGGGCAGTGGCGGGGACCGTAAAATGGACCGTGCACAACACAGGAAGACTGTTTAAGAACTACCAGCATGAGAAGATGAGAGACCCTTAGGTCAGCAGCAGCTGAGGGAGAAGGGGACAGACGGACAGGGCTGGGCGGAAGGAAGCATCGAGGACGGTCCCTTGTTTGCAGGGGGACCAGGAGGGCTGGTTTTGCCTTTTTCCAGAGCAGGCCTGTGAGGTATGGCACGTAGGTGGGAGCTGGAGCTGGGGGAGGAGCCCATCACCAAGGACAGAAACAAGAAAAGGTGGGACGGAAACAAGAGCCAGAGGAGAAGGGACTGTCACCTGCAGTCAGGCGCCAGCCAACACCTGCCGATGACACAGGCACCACGCTCAGAGTCACACGGGTCATCTCAGCGAAACCCCCTCTTACCGGGGAAGAAACTCACTGGCTGGGAATGTTTGGCGAATCCCCCAAGTGACCAGCAAGCAAGTAGCTGAGCTGGGACTGTGGGGTCTCAACCTTGATGGTCTTAACCACAGGGCGTCCCAGAGACAAAAAGGAAACCCAAGAGGGCGAAGGCATGGACGCCGGAGGAGCCAGTGTTCTGGGGGGGGAAGGAAGGAGGGGTGCGTCCAGCACCAGAGGAGTCAAGGAAGGGGTCGGACAAAGGGCCCCCGGGGTGGGTAACTGGGTCCTGGAGGCCGTCACAGCCGGACTGAAGGACACAGCAGTGAACTGAGGGCAGAACATCTCTGAGAATCCCCATTTTACAAAACAATGGTTTATTAAAACATGTCTTTAAAAATCACACTTCGGCCCTGGCCGGGTCGCTCAGTGGTGAGAGCATCGTCCTGGTAAGTCAAGGGTGCAGGTTGGATCCCCAGTCAGGGCACATACAGGCAGCAACCAATGATTCAGGACTGAGCAGGAGAACAAATCGTCGTTTGTCTCCCTGTCTCCCCTCCTCTAAAATCAGTAAAAAAAATTAAAAAACACTTTACCCAGTTTATAGGCTATGGAGATGTTTGTTACAGAGAAGTTAAAAGCAGGAGCGAGGCGAGCGAGAGGAGACAACAGAGATCTGCCTTAAAAAGAAGAGGACTGTGACCCCTGAAAAGAGGGAAACGGGGTGAAAGATGGAAGAAAAGTGTCCTCAGAATCTCAGCCACTAACATGAAGAAGGAATAACTGCTGGCTGCATTTCTGAGAGCTTTCTAGAAATGGGAAACTACAGCCCGGCCGGGCATGGCTCAGCGGTTGAGTGTCGACCGNAAACTACAGCCCGGCCGGGCGTGGCTCAGCGGTTGAGCGTCGACCTAGGATCCCAGGAGATTGGGGTTCGATTCCCGGTCAGGGCCATGCCCGGGTTGTGGGCGAGGCAGCCAATCGATGACTCTCTCATCATTGATGTTTCTCTCTCTCACCCCCTCCTTTCCTCTCTCTGAAATCAATAAAGATATATTTTAATAAAAAAAATTTTTTTTAAATGGGAAACTACATTCCTTAGGACCAGAGTCACCGTCCGCACTAACAAAGCCCCGGGGGACCAGACGTGAATCACAGATGTGAGTCAGAAGGCAGAGCCCTAGCGGGACGTCCTGCCCAAACCCCGTCCTGCCCCCACAAAACGGCCACGCTGGGCAGTGTGACTTCATGTGACTCAGACCCAGGGCTTCCCCTCCTTCCTGTGGTTCCCTCTAGCCCGGAGTCACTCCCCCTCCCCCAGGTGAATGCCAACTGTGCCAGGTTACTGCCCCTCAGCCATCCTCAGCTCACCCGCAGTCACCCTGTCCCTGCCTCTCCAGGGAAATTATACCTGTCCTCAGACAATACCTGGCCAAAACATGTAATTCACTCTTTTAACTCTCACCTTCAAAATTATCCAGTCCTCTAGCTCTAACATTTTGTTGGCTTTTTTAGCTGGTTTGTTTGCTCTAAATGAAAAAGTTCTTTGCCTTCAAAGGCCAGGTATGCCAAAATAAAGTGGGTAAAATTAAACCAAAAAGCACATGAAGGGTTGCTTTTCTATACACAGAATTTTACGGCACAGAAAGGCTGGGTCCAAAAAACACTTGAAGCAAAGAAAGGTCTTAAAAGCACTGATTTTTTAATTTTTTTTTAAATCAACTGATGTGTATGTAAAGTTTTAGAATGGTATACAGATTATAGGAATAGAATTTATTTCAGAAATGGATCTATGATACAAAAATATTGTTATATTTCTACCATGTCAAACTTCTAAGTCACTCAAAGAAGAAATCCACCGACTGCCGCTTCTGACTGGCCAGCCACCCATGCAAGTCTCCCAGGGGGCATGAGATGATTGATAAGGGAATGAAGGGGCCAAATGCCAAGGAACTCCTCAGCGACACCACAAAGCGGCC